CTCCTCACCCGCTCACCTGCCCTGCTGTAGTTTCTTGTCGATCCAGAGAGTGTAAACAGCTGCTTCGGATGTTGATGTTTTTTTAAAAAAAAAAAGAAAAAAAAAGAAAAGCCTCCTCAGTGTTTTCCAACCACAGAATGACACATTCACAGCCTGCAGTGTTGCAAAGCAGCAGATTTCCTTGACACGGTGCGTGGGCGTCATAACAGCGCGTGCAAACATTAGTCTCCATGGAAAAAAGGTAATCCCTGAGTATAGGCTGAAATATGTTTGAAGAGGTCTCAGAGCTCACGGCCGCCGTCGGATTAGAACAAACACGAAAAAACTATTTCAATTCTTCCTTTTTCTTTTTTTTAAATTCAAACTCAGTAATTAGAGGCTTTTTTTTGCCTTTCTTGCATTTTTTGCCGCCCCCACACACCAAACCCATGGTTTCACATCTGAACTCCGACTGTCGCGGCGTTTCTTTAAAATCTTCTCTTCTTCTTCACATTTTATTTTCACTTTTCAATTGTGATGAATCACATTTTTATCAAATAGGACTATTTGACAAAATCTAAATAATAACAACTGTTGTAGCTAACGTTAGCTCTGGTGTCTGTATCAAGATTGCGGTATCTCTTGGTAGATTAACTAACTAGGTTCGGTACTGCCCCCTACTGACCTGGAGTTGTCAACTGGGTTGTTCACGACTTTAGACTGAATTTGAATGATCTATTATTACTTTTCTGAATTTGAATTATTATTATCTTTCTCTTCCAGCAATATATCAACAAAAAATGTAGTTTTTGTCATTGTTAAGGCTGTGGATTCATCTGGATTATTACGTATAATTTACAGATTTCTTGTCAGACGTCAGTACGAGGGCGTTCAACAAAACTGCTGCTCTTTTGAAGAAAGCCTTTAAATTGTCTCTCCTTAGAAGAGCTGTCAGGAACAGGAACAGTGGTTCTGCTGCTGCTGCTGCTGCTGCTGCTGCTGCTGCTGCTGCTGCTGCTGCTGCTGCTCTCCTCATTATCTGCACTGATTACCCAGAGCTGATCAAACTGAA